AATAAAAACTAGATGAGATCTCGTTGCGAGCAACGAGTGGGTCTTCCGTCCAATTCTTGATGAGATGAGATAAGATTTTGATTGCGATTTTCATTCTAAAAAAAAATGATTTACCACAACTAAAAAGACATTGAACATTAAAGTCTTTAAAAAAATCGGCCTTTTGCCCCTAACGGCCCCTAATTTTAGGAATCGGCCCTCTTTTTTCATATCATATAAAGATCTTAAGATTTTGAACATTTTGTGTTTAACAATTGTTCAGAAATTCTTTTTCGTTTTTGAGATATTAGAAATAGAAACTTTTAGGGGCCAACCCTTCAACTCCTTAATGGGGACGTTTAGCAAAAAATGAAAGGTTGCATATTGTTTAGAACATTATTTTGAACAACTTTTGTTCAATATTGCTTATCAAAATATTTCTCCCTTTCGAGATATAAAGCATCAAAGATTTAGCATTCTGGCCCCTTGTGGCCCCTAATTATGTACCATACGACATGGAAATCATAATATATAGTTGTAGATGGTTGAGATGAACATCTTTGCTTCAGTAATGTATTACAAAATATTAACCGATAAAGAGTTATCGATTAAAGACTTTTGGCCCCTCTTGGCCCCTAATTCGAGTGCCCAGCCCCTTTTTCGGAATCTCATCTGAAAGATCTTAAGATTTTTGAACATTTTGTGTTCAACAATTGTTCAGAAATTCTTTTTCGTTTTTGAGATATTAGAAATAGAAACTTTTAGGGGCCAACCCTTCAACTCCTTAATGGGGACGTTTAGCAAAAAATGAAATGTTGCATATTGTTTAGAACATTATTTTGAACAATTTTTGTTCAATATTGCTTATCAAAATATTTCTCCCTTTCGAGATATAAAGCATCAAAGATTTAGCATTCTGGCCCCTTGTGGCCCCTAATTATGTACTATACGACATGGAAATCATAAAACATAGTTGTAGATGGTTGAGATGAACATCTTTGCTTCAGTAATGTATTACAAAATATTAACCGATAAAGAGTTATCGATTGAAGACTTTTGGCCCCTCTTGGCCCCTAATTCGAGTGCCCAGCCCCTTTTTCGGGATCTCATCTTTAAGATCTTAAGATTTTGAACATTTTGTGTTTAACAATTGTTCAGAAATTCTTTTTCGTTTTTGAGATATTAGAAAAAGAAATTTTTAGGGGCCAACCCTTCAACTCCTTAATGGGGACGTTTAGCAAAAAATGAAAGGTTGCATATTGTTTAGAACATTATTTTGAACAACTTTTGTTCAATATTGCTTATCAAAATATTTTTTCCTTTCGAGGTATAAAGCATCAAAGATTTAGCATTCTGGCCCCTTGTGGCCCCTAATTATGTACCATACGACATGGAAATCATAATACATAGTTGTAGATGGTTGAGATGAACATCTTTGCTTCAGTAATGTATTACAAAATATTAACCGATAAAGGGTTATCGATTGAAGACTTTTGGCCCCTCTTGGCCCCTAATTCGAGTGCCCAGCCCCTTTTTCGGGATCTCATCTTAAAGATCTTAAGATTTTGAACATTTTGTGTTCAACAATTGTTCAGAAATTCTTTTTCGTTTTTGAGATATTAGAAAAAGAAATTTTTAGGGGCCAACCCTTCAACTCCTTAATGGGGACGTTTAGCAAAAAATGAAAGGTTGCATATTGTTTAGAACATTATTTTGAACAACTTTTGTTCAATATTGCTTATCAAAATATTTCTCCCTTTCGAGATATAAAGCATCAAAGATTTAGCATTCTGGCCCCTTGTGGCCCCTAATTATGTACCATACGACATGGAAATCATAATATATAGTTGTAGATGGTTGAGATAAACATCTTTGCTTCAGTAATGTATTCCAAAATATTAACCGATAAAGAGTTATCGATTGAAGACTTTTGGCCCCTCTTGGCCCCTAATTCGAGTGCCCAGCCCCTTTTTCGGGATCTCATCTTAAAGATCTTAAGATTTTGAACATTTTTTGTTCAACAATTGTTCAGAAATTCTTTTTCGTTTTTGAGATATTAGAAAAAGAAATTTTTAGGGGCCAACCCTTCAACTCCTTAATGGGGACGTTTAGCAAAAAATGAAATGTTGCATATTGTTTAGAACATTATTTTGAACAATTTTTGTTCAATATTAGCATCGAAGATTTAGCATTCTGGCCCTTTGTGGCCCCTAATTATGTACCATACGACATAAAAATCATAATATATAGTTGTAGATTGTTGAGATAAACATTTTTGCTACAATAATGCATAACAAAATATTGACTGCTAAAAAGTTATTGGATAAAACGTTTTGGCCCTTTTCAGCCCTTAATGTGATGAGTCAGCACTTTTTTCTTGATATCATATGAAAGATCTTGTAGTTCTGCACAAATATTGCTCAGTATGTTTTAACAAAATAATTATACTTTAAAAGATACAATGCAAAATGTCTCAAAAAATCAGTCATGATTCGTGTCCTAATTTTTGACCCCTACCGAGCTTCCATACTAGGCACTTCCGGAAAATATCCTGACCCAGGTGCAACATGGCAACATGTCCTCTATCATCACTGAAAATTTCAGCTTTCTAGCTTGAGCCGTTTTTGAGTTCCATCACAGACAAGAAGGTCCTCTAAATTTCAATCAAAGGGCGATAACTTCCGACCGGAAGTGAATTTCCAAAAAAAAAATTGCCGGAATTAACTTCAGATATGCAAAACGCAATCGACTGTGAAAATTTGAAGCAAATCGAACGAGCCATCTTCGAGAAATCTTCTGCGCAAATTTTGTAAGAAGAAAAAAGAATAATAATAATAAAGGTAAAAAAGAAACATAAGAATAATAGAAGGGTCTTCCGCTGAAGACGGAAGACCCTAATAATAAGAAAAATTGAAAAAGAAACATAAGAATAATAGAAAGGTCTTCCGCTGAAGACGGAAGACCCTAATAAGAAGAAGAAAATTGAAAAAGAAACATAAGAATAATAGAAGGGTCTTCCGCTGAAGACGGAAGACCCTAATAAGAAAATTGAAAAAGAAACATAAGAATAATAGAAGGGTCTTCCGCTGAAGACGGAAGACCCTAATAATAGGGAAAAAGAAACCGAACGAAAACAATAAGGTCTTCCGTTGGAAACGGAAGACCTTAACTAGTGATAATTGTAACGGGGACCGTTACAGATGTTCCCCAAACGCTCCCCATGTCCTTTATCGTGCCTTATTCCTCTAAGACCTTTTATAAATATGCTAAATATCCCAGGATCTCATTTAAGAATATAAAAGTTACAATGATATCAACTATCAACGATATATTGTTTAACGTTTTGCATGCGCGCACACGTACATGTACATGCATATGCAAGATGATTATGGCATGTTGATTAAGCGATTAACAATTCTTTCTATCCCGCGAATCAAAGAAAAAAATACCGGTACATACATAAATTTATCATTTTTCAAGCATATGTCATATTTGTCATCTCCCTCGGGAGATGACACATTAAGATTGTATGCCGGAAGTGAAGTCCTAGTGTAAGCCTCCATTAATCTTTCGGGAGTCTGATGTTTTACAGAGTTCCAAGTAGCCTGTAAACTGGTTTTCTTTTAGAAGAACTAGCTTAGGAGTGTGTAATCTACTTTCGGTTTAGACCTATTTGAAAGCCAAGGAAAATTTAGAAAAGAAGTACGATGCTTATTAATATCTATAGTTTCGGTGTGTCGTACATATATTCATCCTCAATACTATGCCTTATTAAATGGGTAAGCCACACAAGGAGAATTGACAATGACGTGAGTTCTATATATAGATTTGTTGACGGGAATGGAAAACTGGTTCTCGCACAAAAGAACAAGCCTACAATTAGATTCTGCAAAAAATGAATGAAGAGTGGTCAATGCTAATTTTATGTTAATTTTTTAGTCTGAAATTGGATTTATTAAATTAATTCCTGTCAAACTTTAATGATTAGCTGCTTTTAAATGAATGATAATTTTTGCTGATGATACCGTATAGTGTTAAGAAAATATAGTTCAAGGAAAGTATTTGAATTTAAGTAAATTGTAAACACCAAGAACCACAAAGACCGCTAGAATGAAATTTCACCCAAAATCGCCTTGGATGCTCTCGCAGACGTCCATGCTTTCCATATATATACTGCGGCCAAAAGAAACTGCGTACTTTACTGTGGAGTTTGCTGAATAAGTCATTTGGGAACTTCAGGTGTAATAATCCATATACTAGTATTCATTGCATTAAAAAATCTCCCTTTCTGTTTTATTTCTTTGACATTATTGATACCAAAGAGATGACATTTCAGGCTTTCTGGAAAGCCAAACTTGTTGAATATTGTTTTTACTACCATAATAGGGTTTTTTTTCATGTACATGTTGCTTATTTCCTTTTACTGTTGCAGTGATGTAGATTTCTGCCATTTTTTTGGATTATAAAAGCCATAAATTGGAATATCTTTTAGAGGAGGAGAAGATTTTTGATTTGAGTTTTGTTCTTTTTCCCTCGTCAATCATTTCGGTGCCCCCCCCCCCCACCCCTTTTCGTTTTTCAAAAATAGTTTAGAATGTTATATTTATTTTTATAGCAATGAAAAATCTTAATTATTGATGTTTTTAAGGGAATCAAATCAAAAGTTTGAAAATATAAATATCATCAAATTACATGTATTAGATAGCTTCACGGTATTTTACGATTTTACGTTATGACAATTCATGCAGTTACGCACGCGTACACTGTACGTCAAAGTAAATATTCCGACTTTGTTATGCTATATTTTATACATTTATATACAAAAATATATGCCATGTTATACATCAAATGAAAGAGAAAGAAAAACTCTACAACAATCAATAAAAAACTGAAAATGTCAAAATTCTTCGTTGAGGCTATGTCAAGAGGTCATAGATGTGCGTATGGATAAACGTTTTTAAACCTGAAGAGGGACAGGTAACTCTCATTTTCAGTCAAATTTCTCTGATTTCAGGAGTTGTCTCCCCTTGAAAAGATCAATAATGGCGGATAAACAATACGGCATGCAGTCTGGTCATCAACAGACAGTTTTGACACCCGTGTTACCCGTATTTCTACCAATCACCTCTGTAACCTTTGCTGTGTTCATCAAACAGGTAAGAAAAACAAGATTTTTCATTCAAATAATTTTGATGAGCTAAATAATAAAGGATATAACATTTTTACATGAACAGACTCCCTCATATAAGAAAATGTCACATTTTACACATTACAGTAATACATTATTCACATGTTCACATTTTCCCCAATTATTATTACACAGTTGAAAATAATCAATGCACAATGAACCAGAAAAACAATTATTACATGTAATATAGTTCACAAAATATATTTTAAATACAAATTTTAAACATTTGAAATGCATGTAGGGTAAACTGGGGTAATTACCCCGACATATCATCAATCCCCCCCCTTTACAGTCTTACAACTTCCTTTTTAATTTTGGATCTGTCAATGATTTACTGTAAGTTTCTTTAGATTTTTTTTATCGTACAGTGATATCTTTTAGATCTGTGTACGTAGTATTTTCTTTGAGATTTATATTTTAACAGTTTTTGTTTCATTTTAAAATAATTTTGTCTATTTTGTTGTTATTTTAGATGATGGACCTCTCTACTTCCTTTTACAACAGGTGCCCCTACAGATTCACAAAGTTCCAGTGTTGAGTTTCCATGACCCCTATTCAGTGAGTGCACAACTTTATGTATTCTACTTTCAAAATTTCTACTACTTGTAATACATTTTGGATTTGATTTTAAATATGCCCTATTTACAGATTCAGATTTTTGTGTGCAAGTATGATATTCGATTCTATCAAGATTAATTTGTCCTAAAGTCAAATTTATACAGTCTTTTAACAAACATTTGTCTTTTTCTGTCATATTTAATTCAAAGTCACTGGGCAACACTGAAGATTTCCACTTATTGCTTTTCAGTCCATGACAGGAAAAGGAAAAGAGTTGACAGGACTTCCCGCACTGTCCCTGGTAGCAGTTTATGAGGGAGCCAACTGCAGTAAACATAGCACGCTTCATCAAAGGTAATTAAGTTGCCGGAGTAGTGTTTGTAGCAATTCTCGTACTCTGTCCTGCATCGAAGATTCAGGTCCAAGGCAAATCTTCTCTGCATGGATTCTCTTATGGCCTTGGTTTTTCCCGAAAACATATGACAGCTGAATGGAGCCTTAGCAGTCTGTTTTCTTGAGAGTCAAAGAAGTGAAGCAAGTCTTTAAGGTTTTCAATCACATGTCCTTGTTTTTCAGATGCACAAGACGCAGCAGCACTGTCTCCATCACTGATGAAATGGGATATGACTAGTGGCCGGTCATCACTTTGTAACTCACCAACACAATTAGCGGCCCATCTCTCTCGTCTCCAATGGTGGTCTCCGGAGGAATGGTTGCAGTGCAGTCTTCATGTCCTGGGCAGGTAACTTCCTTTCCTTTGCTTAATAGGTGTGCACCTTTCTTACATAGTTTATTACCACAGAAAACTGCTACCACATTCTTCCTCTGGGTTCACTTTTGGTATACGTCACTGGGGTGGCAGCTTGGAATGGGGTTTTCCCAATAGCACTGAAGGTGGCATTATTGTTCCGAGCAAAGAGACGTAGGTGAATGCCATCGTGTCAATAAAACATTGTTTTTTTTCACGTGATATACATGTACATGTACATAGTTTTAGCAGATAGTTTATATGTCCTTGGTTTTATACAACAGGAGAAGGTGTGCAATTAATATTTAACCCCTCAATATAATCAGAAAGTGATTTAGGTACATGCTAACGTCAAAGTGTTTGTACAGTATTCGAAGCAACTATTAATCATCTAAAACAACAGTTACTCCAATATTAAATGTGAGCATGGAGCAATGTCTTTAGAATATAATCTTCCAATTTCTGTCAAATAAAGTGATAAAGAAGCTCTACAGTTTTTCCGGTGACAAGTTAACTTTTGTGCAGTAAACAGACGAAACCACATGTCGCCATTGAATCGTAAACACGTAGTAGACTGTCATGCTTTGGGACTCTTTCATTTGATTGAGAACGGGCGTGACAAAAACATTGTCACGTGTAAATAATTGCCTTCCATATAAGGTAGTGGTCTCGACCTGTTTAAAAAATCATGCCTTTATCGATTGTTTACATCTCGTTCAAAGTACTGATCTTGACGCCATTTTGAAACACAGGTCCTAGGGTCATGACCTTAGTGGAAATTACATAATACAGACCCAAAAATTCCAAATCGGACATATGTGACTTTTGTTAACTTTATATAAATAATGCGTGCCATGGCATTGTTAACTTTACATAAATAATAACATGTGCCGTAACACCAATACACTTGAGATAAGACGTAAAAAAAAAAAATCAAATATTTTCTTTGAAATTCTTAACATATGCAGTAATAAAGGTGCACAACTCTAGGACCGTAACAAATTTAGGGCCTCCGACGATTCATATATAAGCTGGCTGCATGAGGCTGTTGCAACCATTGTTTACAACATTGTCTGTGATGTTTATTGTGATGTCACAATGCCGCTGCACACGCACTGACCCTCCAGTGAATACAGCGTCAAACCCAGTGAATACATAGTGTTTTGAACTGTTTGTGCTTGTATAGATTATATAGGAACTATACATAGACAATATTATGTGATATCTCCATATCGTATCACTGTTAAGGAGAGAAATCAACGTGAAATAGATGTGCAAAACACGGGGCCTTTTCAAAACTGAATTTATTTTTATTAAGCTGTTTTATTAGCACAGAACTTAAATACTTATGGAAATCGCATAGTATGTAGTCCACTCTGTACTGTATGAAGTTTAGTACGTCCTATCAATGAACAGTCACATGAAAAAGGCAAAGTTTGTGTACTGAATGCAAGTCAATAACAAATGTCAGTATCATAAGGGCCTACCTCATAAATAGTTTAAATTAAAAATTCAAGCTAGTAATTATTTCTGCATACTTTGTACTTTCTGTTAAGGAAATTATCCTTTATTTATATTCGAAAAATGGTTAAAATCTATCTAGTGTATGCCCTTGGGAAAGATGATTTAATGAGGCATAACAGTGTTTAATATGCCTATTAACCTTTACACAAAAGCATGGCAAAATTAATTAAATGTATTCTCTCTATAATAATTAATAATCAAACTAAACAAAGGTTAAATACATTGGTATTAATAGCCTATTTAAAACCTGAAAATAATATTCTGTTTAATAATAAAATGCATATTTATGCCCCGCCATGAATATGGCTGGGGCATATAGTGTTTGTCATATCCGTCTTCCGTCCTTCTGTCCTTCCGTCCTTCCGTCATACTTTACATTTAGCTCTGTTTAAAGCTAAGTTTCAAAGAATCTATCCAAAATATTTTCATCAAACTTATATGCTGATAGATATTGATGAGAGCTATGCAACTGCATCTGATTCAACATTTTTTTTCTTGATCTTTCCTTTGACCTTGACCCCACTTCTTAGAGTTTAGCTCGGTTTTAAACATACCATTCAAGATGGTGTTATCAAACTTCACATGTTGATACAAACTAGCATGGATGATGCATCTAGGGATGGACACTTCCAGACTTGCTCCAGATGCTGGATCTGACATACATTTTCCAAATAAGTGACCAGATAAAATTTTTTGGAGCAGGTCCATTCCTAAGGAACATTAAAAACACGACTCGTAAATAGGCATACGCCATTTTCGATAGCATTATTTACGATACATAAAAATACTGTGGTATACTCGTCGCATTCGTTACACCTGCCACTGCATTTATTGTCAGGGGTATCGGTGTGGAATTTCATGGTCCCGTGTTCGTGCTGGTTATCTTGCATTACCTTTGTTTATATTTTATTGCAGTTACGTTTATCTAGTATGTTGTTTTGTTTACGGACAACAACTGGTCAAACTGGTTTGACAATGACGCGATTGTCTAAATATAGAGATGTAAACAAAGATGTAAGGTCAAAGGAACGCTAAGGTTTAACCGAACAGAACTTCTTTCAATTTGTTTCAGCAATAAAGAGACAGAACAACATTACTTTTTTTTAAAAAATACTTGGAAAATATCACTAGAGATGGACATTTATTTGCTCTGACAAGTAAAATTTTCTGTTAGACTGGAAAAATGTTTGTCACCAAAATGTCATTTTTTTACGTTTGGGTAAAGGGAAAACAATAATAGCATTAAAGTTTGTTGATATTCTAATCTCACAATTTCAAATGACATTAAATTTACATCCTTTATTTCATGAGTTTATCAGCATTCAGTTGGTCACGTGTACAACACAAAATTGTGAATTTTTGAAAAATCGTGTATGTTATATTGCATTGCAGTATTACCTTATTAAATGTATCATTTGATTTTATTATATAATTAAAAAATTAAAATTAATGAATACATGCGTATGGGACACAATGGTATAATAATCCCAATGATCGATATGTGAGAAAATCGTTTCTCATGATTGCAATCTGTTTTTTTTCTTGTAGTAAATAAACTATAAGATTTTTAATTACATTTGAATCAAATCAAAATCACAAACTTTAAGTTTCACCCGCGTGGCGCAGTTGTTAAAAGAGTTTGCTCTAGAGATTCAAATAAGGTGTAAATTACATGCAGGTTTGAAAATCCTGTGGGATGCATTTGGGATAAACTCTAAATACCAATAAACTGAAATCCCATGTCGCAGTATGTGCTTGCACAAAACGATCCCTCACTACTCAATGGTTTTGAGTGCCGTGTATAGGTAAAAATTTGTAGACTTACATGTAGCTAGCTCCATCGACAAGTGGTAAAATATGTGAAAAATTTCGAACGCAAAACAAACAAAATGTTAAGTTTTCCACTTAGGGGTTCTATATAGAAATTACTTGAAATGAAATTTAAAATACATGAATAACAAAACTTGATGATTAAGTTAATTAAAAGATACATTTGATAAAATAGATAAGCAAGAGTGTTTTATAAAAATTAATTATTATGTCCGAAAAGAAACATTCACACCCAAAAGAGAATAACAAATACTTATTTTAATGAGGAAGAAAAATCAATCTAGTGTCTAGTGATGGTAAATAAATATTAGTGTTGTTTGTTTGTTTCTTGGGACCAAATATCTTGTACACATTTTAAGAGAGTAGGGGTGTTTTGATTCAAATGCTATAGAAATATTGTTCTTTGAAAAGTTTGAGTAAGAAATGGTATGAAAGAAGTTTGAAACCTATGATGAGCCCAAAATAGTATTTTCGAGTTTGGGAAATTTTTTTTTTTTTGTGGTGGAGGTTGTTTGTTTGGTTTGGTCAAATTGTTGATAAGAATATAGTGAAAAATCCAGAACTTTAAACTTAACTGCTCCTTGCAATAAATCAACAGTTTTTTCAATGGATGCACTGTAGCTCTCGGTCTGTGTTTTTTCCCAGGCTCAGGGGTTCAGCTAATTTAACAGCAGGCCCATATCTTGGATTATGCAATGAAAATTTTTGAAATGCGTGTTGTTCTAACAAATCAGTTCTAGCTGCCTTGGGTATCTAACAGCATGAAACTGTTATGATACTTCCCTTGAGATCTTTCAGATTAACAATGTTCAACTCCCATGGTACTTTCAAACTTTGATTCCTACCCTTAGTTTTTTTCCTATGCCCTTGGTGCTCATGAGCATGTGGCCCATGGGCCTCTTGTTTGGATTGTGTATTCCGACAGAATACTTTCAACATTTTTCCTCTGAGTTACATTTTCACGGAAGGTACAAGTCACTTGGATGGCAGCTTGGAATTTGATTTATCCAATGGCTTTAAAGGTGACATTAATGTACCGAGCATATACTTACACTCTTATGGGGGAGGGTATCAAGTAGGCCACATTTTACATTGAGTCCTTGAATGTTCGGCCTTATTTTCTTCATATATTGGCAATAATTTTAACCACTTTGTTGCAGTTCTATTGGCAGTTGATGCTGTTTCAATATTTGCACCAAGAAGCATACCATGCATACCTTCTGTTGTAACACTGGTACCCAGGTGACCGACAGTCATGGCCACATTCAGCTGTGCAGCTCTTTGTCCCCTGCCAGATCTTCTCACCTCTTTGTAGCTAAGCTTTTCTCGGTGACTGGTATAGTGGCACTTCTTACATTGGATGGAAAGGATCCATGCCAGGCCTCCTTTTTCCTTCCCTTGCTGATTCCAGTCAAGTAGACCATCACAGTCTGGAAACTTATGTGAGTTTTCTTTAAATGCATTGTTCCAGATTTAGCAGTCTTTTCTTGATGAAGTACTTTGTATAATTTCCAGGGATATGCCTTTGTTGTACAATCTTCATTTCATGTGCACTAGGTGCCTCGGCTCTTCAAAAGACATCTATAACTGCAAACATTCAATTTTTCTGTGGCCTTACAATGTCCTGAAACTCTTTTTATACCCCCGCTCCGAAGGAGAGGGGGGTATGCTTTTTTACCCTTGTGTGTCTGTCTGTCTGTCTGTCTGTGTCTTGTATGATTCCGTTTTGTGTCCGCCCTTTTCCAGATGCACCAGTAACTGGTGAAAAAAATTTTCGTCACAGTTTTCTCAGCAACTATTCATTGTAGATGCTTGAAATTTTCACACAATCTTCTCTGAGGCATGCCATAAGGTGGGATACATTTTCACTCAAATTCAATGTCAACTTCCTGTTTGTGTGTCTCTCAGTTTCATACATAGCAAATTTTCGTCGCAGTTTTCTCAGCAATTGCTCATTGTAGATGCTTGAAATTTTAACACAATCTTCTCTGAGGCATGCCATGTGATGGGATACATTTTCACTCAAATCGGACATCAACTTCCTGTTGTGTTGTGTGTCTCTCAGTTTCATACATAGCAAATTTTCGTATAGGCAGTTTTCTCAGCAAGCAATGATTAGTGATGCTTGAAAATTTTTTTAACAAAATCTTTTTGAGAAAGCATCTGTATTATGGTGGCATTAATTTTGAAATAGGCCACCTTTTTCCTTCCCTTGCCCCCTCACTTTCATCTTCATGTGTTTTTAAATGCATTGTTCTTGAGGCAGTTTTTCTTGCCATGTAAATTGAACTTTTTATATTCAACATGTGCATATAGTGCTCAAAAGACACATCAGAGTGGGGGTATTTTTCTGTGAGCATTACAATGCTTCTTGTTTACTTAGTCTTCTTATGGGAACAAGACATTTGACTGGATTGGTGGTCCCTTTATTCTTCTGGCCTACAAGAATATTTCAAAATATTATGATGCTTTAAAGCTCAATTTCAATGGAAAAATTTAACAATTTATTTTTATTTTTCAATTTTTGGTAAAATTTTCAGGCCTTCAGTATTGAATTTGGACTCGTGTACTAGGAATATCATAAATGTAGCAAAATTATGATACTGAATTAAAGGAAACTCTTTTTTTCAGGTGTGCATGATGTAACTTCCTAGATGGTGTGTAGGCTGTTTATCAACATGTGAAATCAATGTGTATTTCAGGTTGGTATGTTTATACTGTCAATTTTCTTTCTTAAAAGCCACATGAGGCATTTATTATGCCCCCTTCAAAGAAGGAAGGGCATATTATTGCTTTGCTGTTCTGTTTCGAGCATTAATATGGTCTGTTTATGTATCACGGAAGTAACAATTCATTAACTATAGCATTTGACTGGATTGGTGGAACACAAAAGGTTACAAATGGTATAGGCATACAAGGAATGCAAATCACTTTTTGCTGAATATTCAATTTCAATGGAAAAATTTCCCAATTTTTTTTGCAATATTTTTTTACTTTGTTTTGTCAAAATCTTCATTTTTGAAAATCATGAGAACAGTATTTAAAATCATAATTCCGTAGCAAAATTAGTAAATAATTAAAGAGTCCCTATTTCAAAACTACTTTTTTTCATGTGTGCAGTGCTAACATAATATTCTGTAACTTCCTAGATGGTGTGTAGGCTGTACAAATCAACATACAAATGAAATCAACTGTGTATTCAGGTAGACATTGTGAAAACAATTTATTTGTCAATTTTTTTTTACTGCCACATGTTAGGCAATTTATTATGCACTATTTGAATTCTGCATTTATTGCTTTGCTGCTGTCCCCGTTGCCAGAATTTCGGCCTGTGTCACAAACACTTTCTGTTCATTTTCTTTTCAACCATTGCACATACAGAAATGAAATTTGGTATAAAGGTATATCAAATGAATATCTAGGTCAAGTTATGTTTTGGATAAGAACGAAGACTTTAATGACTTCCTTGTGTGAGAACTAAAAAGGAGCAGATATCTCTCATTTTGACTACAATTTCTCTGATTTCAGGAGTAGTTTCCCCTGTTAAAGATCAATAATTCACAACATACAATGCGGCATGCAGTCTGGTCATCAATGGAGAGTTTTGACACCTGTATACCTGTATTCTACCAGTCATCTTTGTAGCCTTTGTTGTGTTCATCAGACAGGTAAGAAAAAGAGTTAATAAAATTAAATCAAGCTATGTAGTGATATATAGTGAAATTATTTCTTTGTTTGAGACATAAATGCAATCTTGTAGCACCCTCCCTTGGGAATTTGGCAAAATCCCTGATCCATGTAAACCTGGAATTTGCTTATATGGAAGATTAATTCATATTTAAACTTTGAATTTCAAATTGACCTTTGATATACTGTAGATCATATATGTATTATTTTTCAAGGTTCTTTTTATCATTTCAGGGTTTAGGTGAAAGTGGTCTGTCACTGAGTCAACAATTACTGTAGCCAATAGTTGGTGCCATTCACAAGCAGAATAATATACATAAAGCCTGAACATCCATCATGTTTGATCTTAAACTACCAGACTACCAGGTAATATGTTTATTAATGATTGTTATTTTGGCAAAAAAGTGTTGTTTCTGTCTTGGTCTATCATTAACATTAGCTAATTTATTTACTTTGTATTTGAAATACAATTGTCATGTATAGTAACAAAAATTATTTGAATTTTTCTAGTCTTAAAACATTCTTGTATGTAAAATGAGGATGTTTCTATCATTATCATTATATATACCCTGAAAACTTGTACTTTAAATATACATAAAGTATCATAGTAAAAATATTATGGGATTCATTGTATTTCTATAGTGTTGGACAACTGGAGCCTTGCCTAGTATTACTCAAATTTGAGCTATGGGGATAGAGTCCAGAGATATTTTCCCTATGGATGTGTTTCAAAGAATTCTGATGGACCTTGGAGCAGTGTCAGTTATGGGAGATAATTTCACTACTTGTGTTTTTCCAAAAGTTTCCATGTGACCTAGAGATGGACTCAGGCTATTTTCTTGCTACCCATGTTTTTCCAAGATTTTCCATGTGGCCTGAAGCAGGACAAACCACCAGGAATACTATGTGAAGGATCCTTTATAATTTTTGGATGGTTGTGGGAATTTGATGTATTATTGTAGTGTATAACCATGACATTTTTCATGATATATGTAGGATAATAGAAGAATTCATTTTGCTAGATAATTGTTTAAGATTACTTAGGCTTACTGTTTTATCTGAATGAGACTGAATCTTTCAGAGAGCATTTAATTATTTTTTTATCTAGAAGTATTGAGGTTTAAATTATACTTTTTTCCTTTTACTTAAATTTCCTTTTTGAAGTTTATTGTATTCTTAAGATTGAGTCAATATTTATTTGTATGTCTTTGTTTTAAACATTTTTTTCTATACGTGTATAAAGTTTTTTTTTAGATATATTATTTAAGCAAAAAAGAGGTGGAGTTTTTTTTTTACCAGTGATTTGCTGAACGCTGAAAAGAAACTAATTTTAGCTTATTATTTCCTTAGATAATGTTTCTATACATAAGAAATATAGGTAACTGTGGGAGGTTTTTTTTCCTTAGTTATGTTTTTGAATCAGCACTTTTGTCTAAATCTTAAGGTTAAAATCAGGAGGATTTTTTTTTTAATCAGTGCTTGATCACAAAAAAAAAATAGATTTAATACAAGGAAGGTTTTTAGTGCTTACCTGAATATTTGAATTTAAAAGTAAGGGATATATTTAGCACTTGTCTGAATATTTAAGTTTTTAAAAAAAATAGGGAGGTACATGTATTTAAGTTTAAAAATAGGAAGTTATTTAGCGCTTGTCTGAATATTTAGATTTAAATGTGACTGAGGTGTTTGAATATTTAAAAAAAATGAGGGAGGTATTTAGCGCTTGTCTGAATATTTAGATTTAAATGTGACTGAGGTATTCAGTGCTTGTTTGAATATTTTAAAACAATGAGGGAGGTATTTAGTGCTTGTCTGAATATTTAACTTTAAAAAATAAGGGAGGTACATCTATTTAGTTTCTTGCCTGAATATTTAGATTTAAAGTGAGATAATTAATTCGTGCTTGCCCAAATATTCAAGTTTTAAAATGATGGAGATAGTTCTTGCCTGAATATTTAACTTATAAAGGAGGGAGGTTGTTAGTATTTTCCTGTATTAGCTTTAGAAGTTTTAAACTAGGGAGGTACATAGAACTTGCTTGAATATTTTTTTTAAGTTTTAAGAGGAGGGAGGTATTAAGTGCTTGCCTGACATTTACTATGGAAATTTTATATGAGGGAGGTATTGAGTGCTTGCCTGACATTTAATATGGAAATTTTATATGAGGGAGGTATTTATTGCTAAATATTTTTTTAATAAAAAAAAACAGAGGTATTTATTACTTGCCTGAATTGTTCAGTTTCAAAATGAGGGAAGTATTTAGTGCTCTTTTGAATATTTAAGTTTAAAAAAAATAAGGGAGGTAGTTAGTTCTTGCCTGAATATTTAATTTTAAAACGGGCGAGGTTGTTAGTGTTTACCTGTATTTACAATGAAATTTTAAATGAGGGAGATTTTGAGTACTTGCCTGAAATTTACTAGGCCTATAGAAGTGTTGAAATAGGATGGTATTTTGCCTATATATGTAAGTTTTAAGATGAGAGAGGCAGTGTAGCGCCTGCATGAAGATGAAGGAGTCTGTAAAGAAAATGTCACACTTCCACAAAAAAAATTAATGAGCAAGTTATATTTTTAGAAAAGTAAGTAGAAAGGGTAATTTCTGTGGCTTATATTGCTTGCAGTGTTTTCTGCTTTTTGTTCATTTAATGGCAAAACTATTTTTTTCTTTTCAAACAGAAAATTCTATGAAAAATTTAGTCAAAGAAAGTTTTGAAGATGACGAACAGTGAATGATCCAAAACAAAAACTGTAATCAATACAAATCTGTAAATAAGGCATAAAACAAGGATCACAGGAAATGACAGCTGTGGGATCAGGTGCCTTGGAGGACTAAGCATCCCATAACGATCCGGTCACACCTGTTACTAGCATAATGTAATGATCAGAGAGATGGAATATTCCGTGCTCAGTTTCAGTATCAAACAAAGCTGAAATAGTTCAGTCATAATAACCACAGAAATTATCCATTGTATGGTATTTTTATGGTAGATATTCTGTCTTTCTTCTTCCTTTCTCTTTTTTTTTCTAAAGCTTAAAGAAGCAGATCTTTTTTCTTCTGACTATCCCCTTTTTTTAACTAAAGGTAATTTTTTTTTTTAATATTTCTTATTAATTCAAATGACAATTATTTATATACTATCTCTTCTTTCTTTCTCTTATATATTTTTTTTACAGAAACGTTCTTATTTCTCTTTTCTCTTTCTTTTTTTTAATTAGGAGTTGTTTTTTTTAATATTAGAATAGTTTTATTTTTTATCATATAATTTAGTTTTAATTTATTTTCTTATGGCAAGGACGCTTTGTTTAAAAGCTTTAATCAGATTAAATATCCTTCTTTCTCATTATTTTATAATCAGAGATATCTCAACGGCTATCACAGGCTCCCTCTATAACTCATTGTAACTTTCTGTCTTTGTCAGAAAGTTATCTAAGTTGTTGTATTTTTGTAAAAGTAATGTTTAAAAAGCAGTAGTGATTAGTAATTTTCCTCATTTTTTTTCAGAGGAATTATATTTAACTGAAGACTTCTCTTGGATTTTAAAAACCTCCCTATATGTACCTCATTATAGCTATGAACATAAAAATATCTGGTTAGAGAGAAACAAATAAAGTCACGCTTGCTCAGATTTTTTCTTAAATGAGATTGTTATCTTTTTATAAGGGTAGTTATTTTCCATATAACGGGTAATTTCTGTGGCTCATCTTTGCATTTTGCCCTTTTTAATTCATTCCAATGGTAATACTGTTGCTTTTCAAAGCAGAAAATTCTATGAGAAATTGAGTCAATGAATGTTTTGAAGATGACGAACAGTGAATGATCCAAAACAAAAACTGTAATCAATACAAATCTGTAAATAAGGCATAAAACAAGGATCACAGGAAATCACAGCTGTGGGATCAGGTGCCTTGGAGGACTAAGCATCCCATAACGATCCGGTCACACCTGTTACTAGCATAATGTAATGATCAGAGAGATGGAATATTCCGTGCTCAGTTTCAGTATCAAACAAAGCTGAAATAGTTCAGTCATAATAACCACAGAAATTATCCATTGTATGGTATTTTTATGGTAGATATTCTGTCTTTCTTCTTCCTTTCTCTTTTATTTTTTTTTCTAAAGCTTAAAGAAGCAGATTTTTTTTCTTCTGACTATCCCTTTTTTTTAACTAAAGGTAATTTTTTTTAAAAATATTTCTTATTAATTCAAACGACAATTATTTATATACTATCTCTTCTTTCTTTCTCTTATATATTTTTTTTTACAGAAACGTTCTTATTTCTCTTTTCTTTCTTTTTTTTTTTAATTAGGAGTTGTTTTTTTAATTTTAAGATAGTTTTATTTTTTATCATATGATTTAGTTTTAATTTATTTTCTTATGGCAAGGACGCTTCGTTTAAAAGCTTTAATCAGAAGAAATATCCCTTTTTTCTCATTATTTCATAATCAGAGATATCTCAACGGCTATCACAACCTCCCTTTTATAACTCATTGTAACTTTCAGTGTTTGTCAGTAAGTTATCTAAGTTGTTGTATTTTTGTAATGGTAATGATGTTTAAAAAGCAGTAGTGATTAGTAATTTTCCTCATTTTTTTTCAGAGGAATTATATTTAACTGAAGACATCTCATGGATTTTAAAAACCTCCCTATGTACCTTATTATAGCTATGACCATTAAAATGTCTGGCTCGAGAGAAACAAATGAAGTCACACTTGCTCAGATTTTTTCTTAAATGAGCACATTATCTTTTTATAAGGGTAGTTATTTTCCATACAACGGGTAATTTCTGTGGCTCATGTTGTTTTCATTTTTGCCCTTTTTAATTCATTTCAATAATAGTATCGTTGCTTTAAAAAGCAGAAAATTCTATGAAAAATTTAGTCAAAGAAAGTTTTGAAGATGACAAACAGTGAATGATCCAAAACAAAAACTGTAATCAATACAAATCTGTAAATAAGGCATAAAACAAGGATCACAGGAAATCACAGCTGTGGGATCAGGTGCCTTGGAGGACTAAGCATCCCATAACGATCCGGTCACATCTGTTACTAGCATAATGTATAATGATCAGAGAGATGGAATATTCCGTGCTCAGTTTTAGTATCAAACAAAGCTGAAATAGTTCAGTCATAATAACCACAGAAATTATCCATTGTATGGTATTTTTATGGTAGATATTCTGTCTTTCTTCTTCCTTTCTCTTTTTATTTTTTTTTTCTAAAGCTTAAAGAAGCAGATCTTTTTTCTTCTGACTATCCCCCTTTTTTAACTAAAGGTAATTTTTTTTAATATTTCTTATTAATTCAAGTGACAATTATTTACATACTATCTCTTCTTTCTTTCTCTTATATATTTTTTTACAGAAACGTTCTTATTTCTCTTTTCTTTCTTTTTTTTTTAAATAGGAGTTGTTGTATTTGTTTTTTTTTTTTTAATTTTAAGCTAGTTTTATTTTTTATCATATGATTAAGTTTTAATTTATTTTCTTATGGCAAGGACGCTTCGTTTAAAAGCTTTAATCAGAAGAAATATCCCTTTTTTCTCATTATTTCATAATCAGAGATATCTCAACGGCTATCACAACCTCCCTTTTATAACTCATTGTAACTTTCAGTGTTTGTCAGTAAGTTATCTAAGTTGTTGTATTTTTGTAATGGTAATGATGTTTAAAAAGCAGTAGTGATTAGTAATTTTCCTCATTTTTTTTCAGAGGAATTATATTTAACTGAAGACATCTCATGGATTTTAAAAACCTCCCTATGTACCTTATTATAGCTATGACCATTAAAATGTCTGGCTCGAGAGAAACAAATGAAGTCACACTTGCTCAGATTTTTTTCTTAAATGAGCACATTATCTTTTTATAAGGGTAGTTATTTTCCATACAACGGGTAATTTCTGTGGCTCATGTTGTTTGCATTTTTTGCGCTTTTTAATTCATTTCAATGGTAATACTGTTGCTTTTAAAAGCAGGAAAATTCTATGAGAAATTGAGTCAATGAATGTTTTGAAGATGACGAACAGTGAATGATCCAAAACAAAAATCGTAATCAATACAAATCTCTAAATAAGGCCTCAAACAAGAATCACAGGAATCAGAGCTGTGGGATCAGGTGCCTTGGAGGACTAAGCATCCCATAACGATCCGGTCACACCTGTTACTAGCATAATGTAATGATCAGAGAGATGGAATATTCCGTGCTCAGTTTCAGTATCAAA